TTTTTTTTTTTTATCAATTTCAATGAGCTTATTTTCTTTTATTTACCATATTTGTTGCAAGTATTTTTCTTTTTGTTCTTTTTCTTTTAATTTTGCTTATTCTTGAATTGACAGTTTAAATATTTATATAGCCAACTGTATTGATTTTTAGTTTTGTGGTTTCTTCTGTTTTTTAACAGTCCTTCTCCATATGAAAATTTAATATATATTCACTTCCATCTTCTTCCTTTACCAGCTTGAGTTTTTTACGTTTACCTTTTAATCCATTTTGAATTTATTTTGGTGTGTGGTAACAGATGTGTTTTTCAAACAACTCTTTTTTCCAAACAGAAAATTAATTTTCCTGTTATTTCTCCACTGATTTGTAGCCTTTATTCGATTATTTAAATTTTATATAAACTCAGGTCTGGTTCTGGCCTTTCATCTGTTGATCTGTGCATCCAAACTCTTGGGAATAGAACACTGTTATTACAGTAGCATATTCCACCCTAAGATCCAGTAGAGCGATTCTCAAGATACTACTCTTCTTTTTCAGAATTTTTTTTTAGCTATTCTTCCTGCTTATTCTTCAAGATAAAGTATATAATGATTTTGTAAAATTTCATAACCAATATCTTTAGGGGATTGGATGAGAGTTAGTAGAAGGTGGCCAGGTGCAGTGGCTCACACCTGTAATCCCAGCACTTTGGGAGGCTAAAGCAGGCAGATCACCTGATGTCAGGAGTTCAAGACCAGCCTGACCAGCATGGAGAAACCCTGTCTCTACTAAAAACACAAAATTAGCCAGGTGTGGTGGTGCATGCCTGTAATCCCAGCTACTTGGAAGACTGAGGCAGGAGAACCACTTGAAACCAGGAGGCAGAGGTTGCAGTGAGCTGAGACCACACCATTGCACTCCAGCCTGGGCAACAAGAGCAAAACTCTGTCTCAAAAACAGAAAAAAGAAAAAAAAAAAGAGTCATTAGAAGGTAATCTTAGAACTTATGTGATACGAATTACAAAACTTTGCTGCGAAATATGTAAGAACACAATAATTAAAATTACCTATCAGTTTTATGGAAGAAAACATTATACGATGTCTCTTTCCCCAAAGCCATCAGTTTAGTGAAAATCTGTGCATTTATTGACTATCCAGCGTGGCCAGTGCCTGGCTAGGCTCTTTAGAAACTGCAGAAACCATGGATCATGCTTTTAAGATGAGAAAATGCTTATTCTGTCAGGAATAACAGGCAGAGGCAGTGATAGGGAGGGGCAACTCATCCGGCACCTTGCACTTCTTTAGTGTTTATGCCAAAATATGAAGAAAATATTTGATTGGGTGAATAGCTGCATAAGCCACTTGGAATGGGCTCAATGGAGGATGGAGTGAAAACTGAAAGCCATGCTTCAGTAACAACACAGAGCTCCTGTCAAGGTTTCCGGGGGAGATGGGCTGAGATGACTACCTGGCTTTTGTTTTGCGGAGTGGTATATGCAAGGGGGAAGGGGCGTGGGGATGTGTGTGCAACACTGTAATTTCCTGGCATAGTAGGGGCTGTGGAAGAGAAGAGAAAGAGTAGGCTGGGAAGTGGAAAGGAATTCAGTCATAACAACCGGGAGATATCCACTTGTGCATATATTAAGCTTTACTTTACACACCATACAATACAAATCATCTTTTCCTTTAACTTGCTAAAAAATGTTATGTTACTCACTAACATCATGGAGTTGCATCTGTTTTAGTTGTTTTGGCATCTCTCTAAGTGTTGGCTCTGGCTTGTAATGGGTGTGGGTGAGGAGAGGCCTGGTTTGGGGAATCCAGTCAAATCTGGGTTACACTGTACAGTGATGGAGGCCAAAATCCTTCCATTTCTGGCCCCAATCTAAGTCATCTGGCTGCATTTAGCCACGTGTTTTAATTCCTCCATGCGTCCATCACTACTGTCTCCTCTGTGTCAGAAATATCCTTAAACATCTAATTTCAGTTAGTGGAGCCTGATTGATTACCCTAAGCTGAAGCACCTTATCTCTGATCTGTGCTGTATTGCCCTGTATTTCTGTGGAAATTTTATTGCAGTCTGATTTGCAAAGTCATTTTTATATACAGTTTATCCTCACATTTACAGATTCTGTATCTGTGGATTTGTCTACTGGCTATAATTTATTTACAACCTCAAAATCACTTTCCCAGTCATTTGAACACATGCACAGAGTCCCTGGATAAACTCGTTCCCAGCTGAAGCAGAACTTCTGCTCAGCAATCATGCTATAAATAAGTGTCTTTCTTGAGATATATTTAGTGCATTCGTTTTTTTGTTTTTTGTTTTTTTTATATTTTTGTGCTCTTTATTGCCACTTTCACCATTTACAATGGTCCCCAAGTCTAGTGCTGAAGTGCTGTCTGCTGTTCTTAAACCTCACAAAGCGGTGATGTGCCTTAGGAGAAAACTCATGTGTCAGATAAGCTTTGTTTAGGCAGGAGTGCCTCTGGCTGTGAGTTCAATGTTAATGAATCAGCCACGGCAATCAGATGGTTTGTCTTTACAACCAGACACACGTAAAACAGAGCTAAGTATTAATGTGCTGACGAAAATGTCGTGACCAGAAGCTTACAGTGAACCTGACCTTGTGTCTGTGGTTTACAGAACGTAAGTACCATGAATAACAGGAATCTACTGCATGTCTAGCTGTGACCCCAACAAAAGCCTCCTTAGTTGCAAGTTTCTGTGTTTTCTATTTATATCTGCTGAGTATCAGACCCAGTGTTGGGCACAGAGTATAGCTCAAAAAATATGTACAGAACAGAAAGAGTTGGAAAGAAATGAGATGTGTTGAGAGGGGCGGAATGGAATGGAATAAGATTTATATGGATTCTTGGAGGCAGGGTACTCTTAGGAGCAATTATTCCAGTAGCACAGGGAGATACAAAAAAATCGTGTTAATATTTATAGAACATTTGTTATAAACCCATATCTTGTTAAGCATCTGACATGCTTCATATCATGTAACCCTCATTAAAGGGTAATACAGTTATCCTCATTCTACAGAAAGGTGAAATAACTTGCCCAAGGTCACACAGCTGTCACATCGTTGAATGGGGCTCCAATCCACATTTATCTGGCACCAGTGTTCTTAACCACCTGGGCATAAGGTGAAAAGACGGGCTTGGTGGGGGTTAAAAGCTATGAGTTTCATCAGAAAGATCTCTAGGAAAGAAAAAGGGGGCCTCAAACAGAAGCCAGTCTGAGTCACTGGCTCTCCCTAGCCTGAAAACGAAGACAGTAATGCAGTTAAGTGTGATTTTCCCCTGGTTGGCAACAACACCGTCTTTTGTTTGATTCCAGAAGCAGCTGGCAGAACTCATGTATTACTCATGCTGCAATCATACTTTACCGATGGCTTACATACTCTAGAGTTACTCAGTAGTCAGAGCTGTATCCAACCCTGTTACGCGATTACTACAGGCTTCTGAAAGGGGCTGAGCTTCTGCAGCTGTTGTGTGTTTCCGGCTCCAGCTCCACATCTCCTGGCAGATGGTTTGTGTGAAAAGCACCGCTGACTGTGGGTGTGGGAGACACAGGGCCAAGGGGGGTGGGGAGGCAAGGCAACACAAAGCAAGCCCATGCCGGCTGGGGCCTTGAGTTTGTGCTATGATGCACTTATGAGAGAGGAAAAAAGGAATCTACAAATGAGCGACTGGGGACTACTCCGAAGGTCACTCCTTCAAGCCCTTCTCCTGGAGACGAATCAGCGATTCTGGGCCATTTTGCGAGGTCAACTCTAACCCTCCTATAGCCACTCTGGTGGTATACACCCCGTTATGCACAGGTATTTATGGTTAGATGGATGAAATTAGTGACAATACTAATCTGTACTGTGTTTTCTAAATTTAAGTATTGTTCTAAATGGTTTATAAGATCTACCTGAATTACTTGTCCTCCCCCCACAAAAACCCATGCTATAGGTACTATCATACTATCATGCTGCATATTTTACAGATGAAGTCGAGTGACTTGCACCACAGTACAAAGCTAGCAGTTGTCATAATAGGTTGAATTATTGGCACCAACTCTTCAACCTTCCTTGCTTCCACATTCCTGCTTTGACCTCATTGTGGGCAGAGTGTATTTCCCAACCCTTGACTTTGGGCACATCACTTTGGGAGTGATAGCATGTTAGTTCTGGGCCGAGGCCTTAAGAAGCCCCACTTGTGAGACGGGCACAGTGGCTCACGCCTGTACTCCCAGCACTTTGGGAGGCTGAGGTGGGTGGATCACGAGGTCAGGAGTTCAAGACCAGCCTGGCCAAGATGGTAAAACCCCGTCTCTACTAAAAATACAAAAATTAGGTGGGCATGGTGGTGCATATCTATAATCTCAGCTACTCAGGGGGCTGAGGCAGAGAATTTCTTGAACGCAGGAGGCAGAAGTTGTAATGAGCTGAGATCGTGCCCACTGCACTCTAGCCTGGGCAACAGAGCAAGATTCTGTCTCAAAAAAAAAAAAAAAGAAGAAGATGTACCACTTGTATTCTTGTTTCTACTTAGCCCTCTTGTGTTTCTAACATTACCAGGAACACATGCCTTGGGTGATCTACTGATCAAAGAAGGACGATAGGTGCGCAAAGTCATCCAGACAACCCACATACCTGCAGCAAGAAACAGACCAGCCCCAGCTGCTACAACCTGAAACAGAGCCACCTAGTGGTGTTCAACATAGATCGGAAGAACCCTGAATGAGCCAAAAACACGGGAGTAATCATAAATGCTGGTTTAGCCACTGAGTTTTAGGAGTAGTTTGTTACATGCCAACAACCAACCAACACAGTAATAAGGCTGGAATGCAAGCTCAGCTTGTCTGACTACACTCTGTGTGCATTAAGCTGTAATTTACATTGCCTTCCATGCTCTTTTAAAGTGAAGAAATTGGCTGGGCATGGTGGCTCATGCCTGTAATCCCAGCACTTTGGGAGGCCGAGGTGATTGGATCACCTGAGGTCAGGAGTTTGAGACCAGCCTGACCAACATAGTGAAATCCCATCATTACTAAAAATACAAAAATTAGCTGAGACTACAAGCGTGCACCACCATGCCTGGCTAATTTTTTTGTATTTTTAGTCGAGATGGGGTCTCACCAGGCTGGTCTGGAACTCCTGACCTCAGGTGATCTGCCCACCTCAGCCTCCCAAAGTGCTGGGATTACAAGCATGAGCCACAACACCCGGCCAGCAAAGCTACCTATTAAAGCATTTCTTTGTCATCTGATACAGAAATCATATGTCAGGTACTGGAAATATTGAAATGCCAAATATGGCTCACAGCCCAGTGGGCAAAACCAACCAGTAAACTGTAAATTGTAATTAAATGTTCTATGACAAAGGCGAGCACAAGGTACCTGTATCCAAAATCTCTTAGGAACCATCGTAAACCCTCCTCATCCCAGCTCTTGCTCTGGCTGCTTCTGCAAGGGCCACTTCTGATCTTTGAGCAGGTGCAGTCAAAGTAGCTCACCTAGAGCCCAGTCAAGTATATCTTATTTCCTCACCTGTAGTAACCTGCTAGGTTCTTAGATCTACATAACCCTTGAACAAAGAAAGGGAATAGCAATAGATGAATGTCTCCCCTCTGCATTCGCAGATGAAGTTCTAAGTGTGATTTTATAAGGCTCCTCAGAATGTCCGGAGCGCCAGGCTTCTGTAGCCGCAGCCAGCTTGATAATGGATCCTTGTAGAGTTTGATTGCCCTAGTCCCTCACTCTTGCTTCCCAGAATCATTATCCCAAATCATCCTCCTGAACATATGCCTTGGCCTTCAGGCCATGTTTTTGCCCCAGGCTAATCCAGGGCCCTAATCCATGCAAGGAGGTTAAAGAAGACTTCTTGGAAGAAATAATATCTGAGCTAAACCTCTAATCATGAATAAGTCAGGCAGGTGAACAAGAGAAGGTGGCAAGGGCATGCTTGGAAGAGAAAATAGCATACACAAAGGCACAAATGCTTGAACGTGAATGTTTGGAAACTGCAAAGCGCCTGGTATGACTTGAGTACGGTTCCATTGTAGTACGTAGGACTAAGAACCATGAGTATCTGGAGAGGTAGGCACAGATCGACTCCTGAAAAGCTGCTGACCACAAGCAACCACCACCATCAGCCTCTTCTTTGATTCTGAAGTGGTAGCAATGAAAAGTAAAATAGCTGGATGTTTAAAGGAATCCCAGAAGATTAGAACATACTTTGCAGATGCAAGGGTATTGGACACAGAATAGAATTCAGACTAAAGGAAGGTGGAATTAGAGG